CCGTTTATTAAACCCGATTCGGTCTGGTCCCGAGGTGGGCTTAATAACCGGCGACTACTGTACCTTAGAAAATTCTATTGATTGAACGTGCCGGGACCTCATATACATATGTACACGCACCCGAAAAATTGTCACTTAAATTTTTACTGACAAACAGAGAGTAGCAAATAACTTTGGAAATTGTACGGTGTTAGTTCGAGTTCATACTGCCAAGGGACAACAGGGGACACATAAAAATTGGGCTTAACATTTATCACTATTAAAATAGTATTGACAAACGGGGAGTAGTCGTGCCACAGTTTGCCGCCAATACTATCCTCGTAGGAGTTAACCGTGCACTCCTTCTTCTTCCTCTCTGCCCAACAAGCGTCAATTTTTTCATAGAGAATAACTGGTTTCGTGCTGTAGACGTCAGCTAGGGTATTTTTACTGCCGGAAATAACAACGAGAAACAGCTCAGACAATTCTAATTCATCTTTAAACATTAATCAAAGTTATCCTTTTTTCCTTCTTTAAAGTGGGCCGTCATAGTTTTGGCGACCGAATACTTCCTACATAACGGTATTAATGTGTTAGTTCCCTTTTCCCCGCAGACTTCTTTGTCAACCAGTGAAGTTGGATCAGAAAAGATCCGCCATGCGCAGCCTGGCATCCAGGTCACCGGTGACAAGTTTCCCTCCGACGGTGACTCTGACTCAATTGTCGAGTTCAACACTGGGAAGGATAAAAATGAGTCAGTTGCATCCGGTGAATTGGAAAGTGTGGCAGGCTCTGAACCTAAACTGGGTATAGAGACTTCCAAGACTGGTAGCATTGCGCTGAAAGATTATGTCAATTACCTCAAACGTGGCGCCAGATACTGCGGCTTACTGGCCTCCATGCTGCTCTACTTAATCACCATGGCCTTGTTCAGTGCTTATGACCTTCTTCTAGCTAACTGGTGAGTATGCGTGTTATTCAGTTTACTGACCCATAGCATTATCCCGAATTACAAACATTCAATTCAGTTGAGTTTTCTTTAAGAGAAGGATCAACAAACGTCTTTGCACTCTCTATTGGTAGCATAGCGGCTGAGAAATGCACAGGTACAGCAGGAAATTTCAAAAAGGGGCTGGGAGCATAACTGAAGGCGAAAAGCGAGCAGCCTTCGCTTAGTCGAAAACGGTAAACATACACGACTACTCACACGTAATGAGTAATATAATAACATTAATTCATAGTCACATTCATATTCATGTTGCAGGCAGCTGATTCTTTAAAAGAACAAAGTGCTTTAACCTCCTATACCCTCGATGGTCTCAGGAGGATTAAAAAATATTCCTCAAAATAGCCTTTTGCTCGAATTTAAAACTATTATTTAGTCCTTTAAGTAGGTGAAAATAGCGAGCGTGCCAGTGGGTATGACATGTGGCGGACAGCCAACAATTCTGCTCGGCTTCCTACTTCAAATTACCGCTGCCTCAACGTCATGCAACTTTGTAGGCAGTTGTGTCCGACTCGCTGACCTACAGACTCTTGACCGACTTTCCACAGTCCGACCGTTTTCGATTATGTCCACCGTATGCTCTACAACAGGTCGGTGCAGGGGAGGTGACTTGTGTTTGAATTCGTTTTAACACAGGGAGTTTTAGCAAATTTGAATGATTCATTTGGCGGAATTTTGAAAAAAAGCGGCTTCGGTAGGATTTGGGCCTACGCCAGCCAGACTAAAGTTTGAGTTCAGCAAACGCTGTAGCTAACTGAGCTACAAGGTGGTAGTAGACTTGCACTGCACCTATCGCCCACCTTCTTTCCTCACCCATCTGTGGCCAGAGTCAAGACAGACTCCTGAGGACCGAAGGCGGGATCCAGCACAGGTGGCTGGTGCAGTCGAAGCCGCAGAGTTAATGAACGACCTTCACTCGCACACGCACGTGCGTCCAGAAAGTCGTGGCTGCCTAAGGGCACCTTGGGACACTCGAAGTCGACAACCGCCTTCGCATGGATCGCTATACAAGAAACCGCGGGGGTTATGCCATATACAGACTATTTACCAGTTGATATTGTTCCACAACCACATAAAAGCAGCTGCCACCGCTATGCCCCCTCTTAGGCCTGACTGGATGAATTCAATAGTAGCCTTGGTTTCGCCAATGGCCACCGCTGTCTGGGAAGGCAATTCTGGGTTCCGTGCATGAGAAATCCCTCCTACTGGTGCCTTCTACCTTTTACCTATAACTTGGGATTTGGCCTGATGATTGTAGTTATCTGAGTAAAAGCACCACTTAGGTACGTTAGTATTACCGGCAAGGACAAGGGAGACTGGAATGGCCACTTCTGGCTTATTAGCCATCGTTAGCCAGTCATACCCAGACCCAATTAGTTTCCCACCCGAACCTCGAACACGCGGCCTCTTTGATCAGCGTAAAACGCCCTAACCATTGAGCCACGAGCTCGTTGGCTTGCTAGGTTAGGTCGAGGGATATTGACGCTCATTGATGAACATTCATCCGACCGCTAAGGTTGGAGGAAGATATTATCACCGGCAAGGACAAGGGAGACTGGAATGGCCACTTCTGGCTTATTAGCCGGGCAGAGTGGGGCAGATGAGTTCCGTGAGCAGTCAGGTGAACGTCCATCAACGACCACTTAGGTCGCCCTACAGACGTTTCCATTTGAGCCAATCATCGCACTTCTCTCTCTCCCGCTTCATATTTCAGGACAAATCAGGCCAACCAGATCCATTTGCAGTCAGTGAGCCATCTGGTGCCGAACACCACCAGTAACCCAATGCCCGTGGATATATTCACCCACAACAAAACCTACCTTATGATCTTGGGAATAATTGAACTCGCCCTCATCGTATTTGCAATCTTCCGCTCTTGGACATTCTTTGCAGTATGTCCTTTTCGATTATATCCTTGCCTTCCTATGGACCATGTCCTTCAATTTTCATAAACCTAAAAGGCAAAAGGGGAACATTTTTTGTTTACTTTTAATCAGTTTCCAGCAACCAGTCCGCCAAATTCAAAGTTTAGATGCTCACTCCCTGTAGCGCAAAACTGCATGTGTCGCGTCTGAAAAATTTCCTGCGAAAACGGAGGACTCAAAAAGGACTACTTAGAATTTGCAAGTAGGTATTTATAATACATAAGCACCCTTAGGAGATTACACGACGGACTCCTATCATTTCCTCTTCGCGTGTTTTTTTCGGGGGGGGAGGGTGGCGCGTAAACAATTCCATCCAAGAATTCGGTAAGCCCAGATGCATAGACGCATTTTGGCCGTCA